GTTCGGGCTTTTAACCGCACAGCTTTCACGTGACTTCCGCCCGCATCTAAAATGGCCCCGGCCGCTTCCCGCACAGAGCAGGGGGCGGGGCGGGGAGTCCGGCGATCGGCGAGGACGTCGGAGCGCGACGTCGCCGACCTGTGGCTGCGCCTTTTGGCGTGCGCACGGGCGCCCGGAGCTGGCTCGGGCCTCGGGGGTTCCGGCTTCAGCTCCAGAGACGGGAAGCCCGCAGTTCCACTCAATTCACCGAAGAGTCAAATTGGAGCTATCAAAAATAGGACCTGTAATCAATATTAATGGTTTCTCATTAACTGGGTGTTGTGAGATTAAAGTGAATATACATTAATAGTTTTAAAACATTTTCCCAAGCAAGCACAACATATTTTCCCTGTTACCGTCTGCATGGGCGTGGTAGCAGTCACTACTAATTAAAGCTTCCACCTCACAGTTGACAGCTGACCTAAATCACTTACTCATCTAAAATGTTTACGTTCTTTCTGGTCGGTCACAGTAGCTAAAAGTTAAAGATGGATAAGGACCATGTTAAGTGACAGCAACTGGCTTACCAAATTCTTCAGAAATGTATTAAATATTTACTAGGAGGCAGGCACAAATAACATTTCGTCCATCCTGTAAGCTTGACGACAGCAGAGCTTTCTGCACTGTCAGTGCTGTCCTACAGAAATAGAATTCAAGCCGCCTGTCATTTAAAATTTTCAAGTAGCCACATTAAAAATAGTAAAACGTTCATTTTAACATTGTATTTTAACACAGTATATCCAGAAGTTTGCCATTTAAACATGCACGCAATATAAAAAGTTATTGAGATGTTTTACGTTTTGTACTGTCTTCAGAATGTGATATGTTTTACAATTTGGACTAGCCACGTCTGCGTGTGCAATGGATAGCGGCTACATATCCGAGCGTGCAGTGCGAGGTCTGCCCACCACCCTGCACTGGAAAGCCGAGCAGCCGTTCTGGTGCTGCAGGGGCAGGATTCTGTTACCACGGTCGGCATCTGGCACCAGGAATCTCCCAGACCAGGGGCAGAGCCAGGGCCGTTAGGGACGAAGCCTCAGACGGCATCTCCAAAGGCTGCAGACCCCTTGAATTTAGACCCTGTTTACTTAGGAGTGGAGAGCATTTTCTAAAATAGTTTAGCCAATTCACCTATCTTGACTTCTTTTGAGACCTCATTTCTACTATTTATGATAATAAGCTGTTATTTTTGCCAATAAAAACCCATATGAGACATTATGATAACAGCAAAACAACCGGTGTTGTTTTGATGCCAGCTGGCTACCCCCAGAGTGTGGACTCCTGATTACTAGGAGGCTGGCTGTGCCCAGGGCATACCTTCAGCCAACTAACGCACACAGAGCATCACTGTCTATGCTGAAGAAGCTTAAAGTCAACCACAGACATCGCGATACCCACGTTGTAAGTAATAATGCCCAGCTTCGTAAACTGTAAACGCTTTACAAATGGTCTAGAACTTACAACCTCCTGTTATAGACTGTTTATTCCACAGGTATTTAACACACATCTTTTCTGTGCCATGCACTGTGCTGACAACTAAGAAAAAGGAAGATACAATCATTGCGGAAAAGTGATTTTTTTGAGGGAATCAAATAAAGTTTTTTTTTAAAAAAAAATGATTAAGTAGCTTAGTGTTAAGAATGTCATTTTAGATTTTCGAAGCGCCTTGCCCCCTGCACCACCATGTACGTTCCAAGCTACCATGTGTGAAGCTGGATCTGAGCTAAATAACTCTGTACTTCGCCAGGTCCTCTAAGGTTTTCCCGACAGCCCCTCCGTGCTCATTCACTTAGTCAGCAAATGCTTTATACGGACTCACTGTAGACCAGGCCCTGCTCTGGAGACCAGGGAAACACCAGCAAACAAGACAAGATGAAGTCCTTCCTCTTACAGACCTCACATCTTAGGGGGTTGGCAGGAGGGGGACAGACAGACCGTAAGTATGTAAATGAACAAAGATAAATTCAGATAAATTCTATGAAAAAATAAAACAAGGTAATGGTAGCAGCAGCTAACACGTATTAAGTACTATGTGTTAGCTCCTTCGTCTGTTCTTCCAAAATCACTTTGTAATAGTATGAGGTAAGTTAAGCCATAGAATGTTAGCTTTATCTTTCTATTAATGTCACTGATGTATAGTTATACTTTGTACATATGACAAATAATAAGGCAAGACAGTGAATGAAGTTCCTAGACTGGCGGCAGGGAGACAGCTTATGTCACTGCCGAAACAGGTAAGCTCGGGTAAACCACTTACTCTCGCCTGGACATTGTTTCATCATTTAAAAGAAAGAATTCGAGAGTTGCTTCTAGGGTCCTTTCAAGCTTTAATATTCTATGATTAAAATAGAAAACTAGGACAAATGTGTTTTTAGAAAGACTGATTAGGTTGTAAGCTCAAAGACACAAATCATATTTTAGATTCACATATTCCCTAAAGAGCATCATATACTTCCTTATACATATGAAGTAGTTTTAAAAAATCTGTTGATATTTATATTTAAAATTTTTATATGATTGATTTTTCAAATAAGCAGATGGATTGAATTATTTCATAGGCCCTTTCCAGCTCTACAATTCTATGCTTAAACTATAAATCAAGCCAGTAAATAGTGTAAAACAATGAGGTTTTAAATTCAAGAACAGAAGCCTTGTCTTTGATTCATGTGTTCCTTTAAAAGTCTCATATAATTCCTTCCACAGCAAGTGCTCAAGGAAATATCTCTAGATTATAGTTATTTTGCTTTAAATTTTCAACATTATAACATTACAATGTTGTAACATTTAAAACTCAGAATTAGGACTTTCCATTTCTTACTACCTAAATCTACCTTATAAAAACAATGAACAAACGGAGAATGAGTATCTCATAGTGAGCAAAATATTCTGTTCCCTCGTTTTCCTCAATGAGACCTGTCGCTTTTCCATACTTCAGATTTCAGAAATAAAATTTAAAAGCCCAATACTAGTCTAGTTTCATGTATATTAACGGATGTCCCAGGTTGTCTATATTACTGTCAGAAATACATGAATTCAAACAGCTGAACAGACTCTACTTATATATAACATAACAAGCATATGTTCCATTGTTAATTGAAAACTCATCGTAACTTTGGGAAGCAACCTTTCAGGCACACGGCATGAATAAAAAGGTGACATCTTTGTATACATTTCAAAGGTAGCACATATCACAAGGGGGAAAAAAGGACAGGAAAAAAATTCATATGCACCCAAATAAGCATGCAACTCCTAACGAAACACATTAAATAGAAACACATGACTTTCACTAATTCATTTGTACTTTATGCTTCTTTTTAATAGAATGAGTCACTTCATGTACATAATGTAGAGTTTGTTTTCCAGCCTAGTTGCTTTTCAGCAGTAACTTTTGAGTCTCACGAGGACTATCATCCAGGGTCAAGAAGTGGTTTGAGGAGTGAAGTGCCGAGCACCCGCTGTACCGAACGCGGGACGGGAGGGGCAGGGTTAATCTGCAGAGAGCAACATGGAACATGACAAGAAACACAGACAGACCCACGGCAGTTTCAACATGCATTATTAGCCCGAGGGTCAGAGTTAGCCCAACCCACACGTTTCCTCTAAGCCGAGCGTGCACGTGGACGGGGATTCATCGTGGGCCAAAGCCGTAGTAGTATGGGTCGTCAGGGCGAAATCCATAAGCCGTGGCGGGGCGCCCCAGGATGCCGACTGACTGGCCGAAGCCATCCATCCCAAGGCTAAAAAGAGAAAAAGAAACGGTAAGTTAAGTTCTTCATCCCAGCTACAGATGTAGGTCAAGTAAGAGGCGTGGAACGTGACACCGCCAAGATTCTCTGCCTAGCGGCAGGTGACTTGTGTGGCTGTCATTAACCCTTTTTCTTTTTAAAATTAATACAGCCACAAAAATGTATATGATAAATATTTACTTATAACAATGTGTGTTAAAAATGTTGGAAACCTCTGTCATTGGGTACCATTCACGACAAAGAGGAGGACAGATCGGAAAAGTTTTAATAAGTTATATTCCTACATGGCTTTTAGGCCAGAATGTGAAGATTTTACATGCTAGCAATTGTCAGAAATACACTGCCAGCGAATGATAAAACTAAAACTGTAGAAAAGTGAGTTTTGCTGTTTATAATGAGATCTCTTCAGATAAAGACACAGGACTGATCCAATATTAGTAAGGACATGCAGTTTGATTCTAAGCAGTGAACTTTCACTCAGAGCCAAATCATACTGGAAGCGTATGACTAAAGATGATGAAAAATTTTACAAGTTATCCAGGTAAATTTCAAAGTTATCCAGGTTTAAAAGCGTATGACTAAAGATGATGAAAAATTTTACAAAATTTCAAAGTTATCCAGGTTTGATCTGCAATCCTTCTGACTCAATGCAAAAATAATTGCTAGATAGTATATGTTTCTTTTGAGTGACAGCAAGGTAACTATAAACTTTGGTTCAATTTATTCTATGGAAACAACAGAAGCCTAAAGATAGCCTTCAGCTATTAAAGGTATCTTGAAAATGGATAAATTTTGATTATTACTTTAAAAAAAGTTTTCATCTATTAATAAATTATTTAGAAGAGAATGTTTTCCAAAGCACTTTTTAAAGACCAGAGAATTACCCAACACTTAGCAAAATGACGAGCTACTTATTTTGCCAGGCAAATATGGCAGCTATAACATGCTCATGCACAGCTCATGCGGTGAATGCTAGCGAGCGTATTTCCAATCCACGGAAACACTTTATACTGCAGAAATGTAAGCTCTGAAAAAAAGAAATATGTTTAAATGATTTAAGATTATTTTGAAATTAGATAGAAAGACACTTTTTATCAGCAAAATCTCAATGATTAAAAATATATTCACACAGGCATTAACATCCTCTCACAACTCAAAATGAGACTGTTAAAACATTTTAGAATTAACTATTAAAATATTAAGGTTTTAGACTCTGTGTGTGTGTGTGTGTGTGTGTGTACTGGGACAGGGCTTTATACTAAATGTAAAGAGTCAGAATCCACATAGGGCACATGAATCATGTGGCTCTACCTCTCGGGGGAATGGAATTCATGAAATACAAGATCTAGGTTAGCATGTGTGGTGAGTGATCCTGGACAAGTCAAACTTTTTGGGCTCTTTCTATATCAAAAACTGTGTCTATAACTTCTGAAAGTTGGTTGCAATTTTTAAGTTTGAATTTTATCTTGAAATGGCAAAATATAAACACACCCTGCCTACCTTCGTCCTATGGGAAGATTACATTTTATGATCAAGGCAATTAGAGGTAGCCGATTAAAGATGTTTCAGAAGTCAGTGGAGGTCATGAGCTAAGATACACCTGTAGCAGTTTAAAATTAGAGGAACAGCTGGCTGTTGAACATTTTTTTCTTAAAGCACTAAGGCTAACTGTACCGCCTGAGGATTTCGGCTCCCTCCTTTTCCACTTGTCTGCTTATGACCTGCCTTCGGCCGCTCTATGCATTTTTCAGCATCTCTTCCGAGGCTGAATAGCAGCGGACTTAGGTTAAACTCAAGTTAATTTTGTCTTTGCTTCTTGGATGAAAAGTGCTGCATAAGGGTTGTGATGAGATCGCTTTCGAGAATTTGGAAGCAAGCAGCACACAGTAGATGAGTGAAGAAACATGCAGAGGCACCTTCAGAACAGAACACCTCCCAGAGGACATGGTAGCAACAGGACTGTGTTCTACCTCCAAGAGGGTGACCTTCGGGAAGGAGTCTGTGGCCCGCCTGCACAGAACAAGCAGCTCCTCGGAGGCCGTGCCCAAGCAACCCCTGGGGGACCTACGCTGCCATGGGAGGGCCCGCCGTTCCCGCAGCCCTGTGCTCCCGGGAAGGGGCCACGGTTCTGAGGGTCTGCGGACATCATTCAAACTGCAAAGCTGTCCATTTTAATTTCTATGACAAATAGGCAAACTTCTGATCATTTTCTCATGTGGCCTGCCAACAGGGTAAAGAATAAACTGAAGACATTATGTGATCTGTGTGACAGTTACACCTTTCACTGTACATTGACAGATGGATTTATTTTTTTAACATCAGTCACACTGTTGGTGAGAATTTGCTGCCCAAGCCAGTGAAAGTCAGACCTAACCTAGAACACGGATGAGTGTCAGTTTGAGCCTGCAAGCTTACCGTGACTGAGTTCTACTTATGCAGAGACACCTGTGTGTGGTACAATGTCCAGGACAAAATGTCTTGAACTTTCACAGGAGGAATAAAATTTGAAACCAACTCTTAAAATGAGTTTTTCCAGAATTACCCATCGTATTCCAGGTGTACTTGCTGTCTGAAGACTAAACCGTTATGGCCAGTTTGGATGGTACTCTGCTATAAGTCCTTGGTCCTTTTGTGCTATGAAAGATCAACTAGATTCCTGTGATTAATATGTTTTAAAGAAAATTCACTCTGAATCCGAATAGTTTGATTCTTTAATTTTCATTTGGTTCTAATATAGTGAGGAGATTGGACTTTTCGGGATGCTAAAACCTATAGACAGATATTCTCTGGGGACATGTGGACATTTACTCTACTTTCTCCCTTGGGATAAGGATGTAGCCTTGTTAATGCTGAATCTGGTTCAAAACCAGGAGAGCCTAATCGTGTTTGCCTTTAAATGGAAGATGATACATTCTGTAGGTAAATTCTTCGAGAAAGGGCTGGAAACCGTGAATGTGAAAGGGGAGTGTGGCAGCAAAACGTGCACCTTCCTGAGCCACCAACACAGAGTAAACGGTCACAGGGACTTGGCGCGCTCACCGAGGACCCTGGGAAGCGAGGGAGACGGAGCCGAGGTGCACAGTGTGACCATTCTGTTGAGATTCGCGTCTGCGGGTTTGGGAATCTACGTGGGGACTTAATCCAGCACCGCGTGTGTCTCTGTGTCACATTCTCTCCCTGGTCCTCCTGACCTGCACAGAAAGCCTTGTGTCCCCCTGGTTAGAATAAGCCTCCACTAGACCACTTTTTCTTCGCAGGGCTAGTTATGTATGTAGTGTTATTTAACCTTTATGCTCAATGTCTAGATATCATATTTTGGACTTTTAAATTAGAAAAATATCAAAATGCAAGACCTTTTCTTGAAAATATATTGATTCTAGTTCAATGAAATGGTTACAAACAGCGTTTGCTGTGAAAAGACAGCTAGGAAAGGCAAGGCCCCCAAACTCCATCTACTATTAAGTTTTATGTCCCAAGAACATCATTTTGGGGTACCTAGAAAGGAAAATGACAAATTCTTCACAAATAAATTATATTTAAAATTTGGCAACAAATATAAAACTACACCTAGACTCTATTTTTAAAAAATTCAGAAATCTAATTAGCATTCAGCAAGCAGAAAACTGAATTTTCTCTAATGTTTGCAATGCTTCAAACAAATTTTTAACAGCATCCGTTAGACTTCCAAACTTGGGGTGATCAGAGGGGGAGGAAAAGAACTCCAGGCACGAGTGATGCTTCACATGCAGCACACTACAGGGGGGACGGAAGCCAGTAAGGAGTCCCAGGCATCTGAGGCCCTTATTACACTTCGGTGCCAGAGCTGACATTCCTGCGGGAAGAGAAGAAATTCACCTACCTCTGCTGTTCGTGAGGCTTAATCAGTGCATATTTGTAAAGCACTTTGAAATCCTTGGATGAAAAGTGCTGCATAGGTGGAAAGTATTATCATTATTTAATAAAACTGGACAAAAGCAACACGTCGTTTACTTCTGTGAATTTCCCAAGTCGGTAAAATGAATGCAGAGTAAATAATGAATATATTAGTGTATGCTACAAAAAATAAATAAATAAATTCAAGCCAAGTTCTCTCTGCATTGGCTCACAGAATCTTTGACTCGGAAACATTTTCAGGAATAACCTAGTCTACACGTGCATCCGCAGCAGCCTTGACAGGTCCACCCGCTCTTGTCAGAGCCCCTCCGGGAAGGGGGTGCTCACTGCGGAGTGGGGGCAGTCACGCCAGCGCGGCACATCGAACTGTGAGAAAGTTCTCTGTCACACTGACCTGGGACCCGCTTCTATTAGTCCAAGAATTACCCCCTGGAACCACTTGAGAAGACTAACTCTCCTTTAATATGACTGTTTTACAACCTTCATTTAATCAGTCCTCATGGCACGGTCTCTAAAATCTTTACCGGCTCATTTGCTCTCTAAAATAACTTCAACTTTTTCAATATTTTTCTTAAAATGAAGAAGCTGAAAATTATGTGCTACTCAGGACGTGGTCTGAAACCAGCATAGGATATGAGATTCTATTTCTGATTCTACCAGTGTGGGCTACGCCTGTGCTGATCCTCAGTGTTTTAAGGCGTCACTACCACCTTATACTGAATGTACACGTGTGTATGGCTGTGTGTGCACACGCACACAAACACACGGACTTTGCCCTTATAACCACCATGGGTTTCTTCTTTTTACTTTGGGTCTTTCCTTGGGGGTTCTATTCTACCTAAGACAAAGGCCTTTACGACAGTGATTCTTACTAACTATGTGGCTCTGTGGCCCGTCAGGCAGCACCGAAGGCGGGAAGGGTTCTGAGGCTGTCGAGTGAAAGTTAACACACACTTTCTTTGCAGGAAGCGTCCCAGGATATCACAGAACTGTATGAAATGATAATATTTTTCCAGAATAACTCACTTTTTATCAATTACTCCAATATATTAATCATAGAATCAAAATCAGCATGTTTATCTTCCTTTCTAGGTAGA